GGGGTTCACCCCCCCCCCCCCCTCCCGCCCTCGTTTTTTTTTCTTTCGTGGTGTTACGTGACAGGTCGGCGCAGACTGGTTCACCTGCATGTTTTTTTTTCGGAATGGTGAGAATAATAATAACAATAAAAAACACATAGGGAGCGAACAGACTGACGCCGGTTTTCGGTGCGGTGGAGAGGAGATGCTTGTGTGGGCATTGGCCTGCTGAGGGCGCGCATGTCTCACGTGCAGACGAGGACGCGCGCACGCTACAAATAATAACAACGACATGTCGCGTCAATAAAAATAATGGTGACAATTTCAATGTTTGACATATGACTGGAACAAATCATGTTGTCACATTATTAACATTGCGCAAAGACGGTGATTAATCGGCGCAAAATTTGGCTCTATTGCCCCCCCCCTCCCCACTCAAAAAAAAGAATAATAATGCAAAAGAATAACTTTAAAATGAGAATTAACGCGCATCCAATGTGTCGGCAACCAGGAGAGTCTTTGTGGCTGCGCGCCGAGGAAGTCGCTTTCAGTTTGGACAAACAGGAAGAGATACATTTTCCACTCCCCACGAATATATAAATACTGTCATGCCATTTACTTTTCAGCAGTTTGGTTCACGGGTAAAAGCGTGAAAACAATCACCTGAGAGAGTAATCGACTGAAAGAGTCACTGCATGGTGTGGTAGGTGAGGGTTAATAAGACAACAAAAAATTGGCTGCGATAATATTTTTCCCCTTTGACCATGTTGGGATGTGACGCATTTTGAAAGTGTGCTTCCTTTTCACACGCGAGGCTCGACAAAGTTCCACAGAAAAAAAAATACTTTCAATACTTTACACCGGCGCCACTTTGGACGCCGTGGAACTTGAGGAGAAATTCTGCAGGGCGACCGGTGGGTGATACACTCAAATTCCTTTCGGTGGTAAAAAGTGTAATCCGATTGAAGACGAAAGGACACGCCGCAGCCTTTAGAGGGGGAGACGCAGGAGTCGAATGGTTCTGGCAACTCGCGTTGACGGTGCCGTCGCGTTCACCTCCGCAGATCTCACGGGGCTGCAGTGACCACAGAAGCGACCGCAGGACGTCCGCGGCCTCAGCCGAGCGAGAGCCGCAAAGAGCAGCGGGACTCCGGCGTCTGCTGGCCCGATACCGAGGGAGGCGGTGCAGGAGGATCACCCGCAGCGGTCGCGCCGCGGTCGCAGTCCCGCCGTCGGAGCAGCGTCTCCCTGCTCCCCTCCCCGGAGCGCCGCGGCGTGTTCGAGACAAGAACCAGCTTCCACTTTCCCTACCGGCGCTCGTCGAGCGGATACTACTCCGTCGAGGGCGACTCTCTGCCGGGCTCGCCTCTCTGGCCGCGCGCCTCCGCCTCCACGCAGCCGCCCAGCCCCCAAGCCCTGACGCTGCAGCAAGAGTTGGCGTGCGACTTCGACGTGACGTCTCTCGAGAGAACCAGTGAGCGCACATGCACACGCACTCAAGCACGCGGAAAGCGAGTGTGGTCACGTGAGCAGGCTTTGCGCGTAAACAATCTCTTGTGCGATTGCAGCTGCAGCTTTGAAAGCCAATGACACACACTCTAGGAGTCTAGGTCATCAGTCTGAGGCCACTGGAAATAGGTCGTGCATTATAACATTAAGTGATTGAACCACACTAACTCGTGCAGAAGCAGCTGGTGCAAGTGGTGATATTTAAGCACAAGGTGGGTGGGTGTCAAACTAAAACATGAAACTGCAACATATGAGTCACAACAGATTCCTCTCTCGCACTTAAAAATGTGAAATCATCAACTCGCATTGTTGCCGACAAAGGACGGGGAGAGTTGACAGGAACCAGACGGACCCACATGAAAGGAAAATAAATACATAAAACAAGAAGTATCATGACAAAAGAGTCCAAAAATAACATCCATACGTTCATCCATTTTCTTATCATCTCATCCTCATGAGAGTCGCGGGCGTGCAGGAGCCTATCGCAGCTGTCTTCGGGCAGTCGGCGGGGGACACCCTGTGAACCGCCACTCGCAAGGCACACACAGACAAACAACCATTCGCGCTTACACTCACACTTAGAGACAATTTAGAGTCTGCCATTAACCTGCCACGCAAGTTATTGGACAGTGGAAGGAAACCCGAGTACCCGGAGAAAACCCACACAGGGAAAACATGCAAACTCCACACAGGAAGGCCGGAGCCAGATTCGAACCCTGCCACTCTGCACTGTGAGGCGGACATGCTAACCGGTCGTGCGCCGTGACGCCCAACAATAACATACAAATTTAAAACAATACTGCAATAATATAGCAACAGTATTGCACTCCAGAGTTTTCTTTGTCTTTTCTCACTGACATAAGATACATCTCATCGTAATAAAATAGCATCTAAGATATAAAAGCGTAAACTAATGCGAGCTACTAACGACTTCTACCAACAGGACCGGAGGAGAATGATGTTGACTTGAATGTACGTTTGTTGGAAACATTTCTACAATCCTAAACTGGGTTTTTGTTTTCTAACCTTTATTAACAACCACAAAAAAAAAATATATATATATATATATATATATATATATATATATATAATTCGATAATATGCAAATATATATATATATATGCAACGCCCCTAAGTGTGAAACTACCCTAAGTGTGAAACTACCGGTAGCTATTCGCTATCCACCTCCAGAACTGCAGTGCAACAGAATGTCCCGCAACTTACAATTTTTCGAAAATGTATAACAATCCTGAGCGAGATCTCTTTATTTTTCCTTTTCGACAGTAAAATTAGCATTTTACTGTCCGAACCTTGCTGCTATTCTTGTAATTGAGGATTTCACTGCGACTCACCAATATTGTTAAGACTCGTCCTTTTCCTCAACTCTATGTCAGTACAGGACAGATAGTAGGAGTCTAAACATGGTTCATTAAGACCCCTGGGCTTTAGCATGCTTTATATTTGTGTGTGTGGCAGTCAAAACAGTCCTGCTGGTCTTTTGTGAGGCGCAGACATGGGTCATTCAGCGCTTTTTCATTCTGCAGCATCCATCTGATAGCACTAAACACACACACACACACACACACACACACACACACACACACACACACACACACACACACACACACACACACATTAACAAAGTAAACGGCTGGGTCAGTGGGTTGTCTCAGTCACAGAGCTCATCTGTGACCTGGGTTAGGATCCATTTGAGACTTCCAAGGGCGACGACTTCCTTCCAGCAACTTGGCTCTTCCTCTGCTTGTTTTGATTTACTGAGCCGACGCTCCACTGCAGTCGTGTAATTACTGGCTGGTGCCCGTCCGTCTTCTCCCACTTTTGATGAATGGCAGCCTCCCGGCGGGATGGCGCGGGCACGGCTAATTGGCCGAGCTCTCCTGATAATATTTAGCGAGCACTTTTACGATCGCATTTGGGGTGAAGTGTTTTGCATTTACTTCCAGGAACTTGTCTCAGGAGCTCTGGACACGCAGTGGTGCGGGATATGCAGGCCGTGGCGATCGGACAAGATCTTCGACGGATCGGAGATGACTACAATGACTACATACTTAGGGTTAGTCTTCATCCCCATTGATTCTCTTTGCATCTGTAAATTAAGAAGGCAACCCCCCCGTTTATTACAGGGGATAAATTCAAGAACCCGTGAGACATAGGAAAATTAAAAAAGACAAACTGATTAAAACGCACATTTTAAAGTAGTCCTTGTTGCCTGTTCTCACTGTCATGACATGTTGACTATCGTACAACAGCCCCATTGAGAAAAGGAAAAGACTACTCTCGCTCGCACGGTTCTTCAGATGGCAACGTACGCTCGCCTCAAGATATTTATTTGTCCATTTTTACACTGTACATTTAGAGGACAAAATATTCCACCAAATCAAACCATTTTGTCTAGCCTGCTAGCTTAATGCTAACATATAATTGGAAGCTCAGTAGACGGGCAAACAAAAGTTAGCATATATGTTACTGTAATTGTAATCCTCACTGTTCAAGTATGACAACATTAAAAGTTTTTAAGAAAAGTTTTACTCTTTCCACACACTTTAAACAAATTTAAGCTTCTTAAAATAAACTTTTGAAAGAATTCCTATGGGCTGGTTGTCACTCTCATCATTTTGAAGAAACAAAAAAGGATTATTCAGTTCTCCAATCAAAACATTTCATTTCATCGCCTGAAAGTTCACTAGCTTACCGCTAACAAATAATGCGGGATCCCATAGAGAAGCTAATGGTAATTAGCATAGCTGTTACGGTAATGATAAAAACAAATGCTTTAAGCTACTTTAACACCGACGGCGTAGCAACACATACAAACGAGAGCAGATAACATAACAATACATGAAAAATGGTCCTTTAATATTTGTTTAAAATTCACAATTTTGGCTTGCAAACGCACCGTTTGGTTACACAATGACATTTTCTTACTGCAGTTAATGTGACCATAAGGTTAAGCATCATCTAGTCAAGGCTTGCCATTTTGTAAACCTGATCCAAGGCATAACGAGTGTATTTTACGCATGGCTCCCGTTTTGGTTTGGCATTATTTCTGGACATTGCATCATCGCCGCTTCTCTTCCTGGCGGCTTCGGCTCGTTTAATCTCATCAGAGTGTTCCAAAGCTCCGCTCGCGAGCCTCCTCACTTTTGAGTTTTTTTTTCTGAGATGTTGCTCTAAACCCCATCATTAGCGCAGCTTACTTCTTACTCCCCTTGGTCTTTACCGCGAGTCAATTACTGCATTTGCGTGCACCCCGCCGGGCCTTCAGAGGTTCACCTCAAAGTGGATTTTAACAATTAAACGCAGCATTTAGATGCGTTCAGATTGTTGACGACGCCGCTCTCGCTCGGCCAAGATTAAAAAGCTGCAGAGGAAGCCGGCGGGCGGCTGGAGAAGAGTGCGATAACGTGATAAGTAGCCGCCGTGACTCAACACTTATTCACATGACTGGGGAAGTCAGAAAGAGAAGAAGGTGTGTGTGTGTGTGTGTGTGTGTGTGTGTGTGTGTGTGTGTGTGTGTGTGTGTGTGTCTTAATGCAATGAGCCAATGAACTTAAGCACAGAATTGATCCGAAAGTGTGCACACGTGTTTTCTTAAAACAATGAGCCGGCCTGAGAAAAAAAAGAGGAAGGCGGAGTTTGGTTCCCTGTTCTCGTGCCAGGTGTCACTTTTCGAGCATTTTATCACGAGACGCAATTAAGTGATTGTAAAACCCTCGCATGTGGGCAAGGAGAGTCACATGGTGTACCGGAAGTGTGGCTTTTTTTTCTTTTTTAGAAAACAAACAATGCAGACAAGTGGAACTTAATAACAAGATAAAATATGCTACACCAATAACATTTCTTCTTTTGAGGAAACAAGAAATCCAAACAACTGCTGAAGTATTTTCTTTTGAGGGAAGTGTAACATCAAAAAGCTTCTTTTTTGGAAATGAACAATCCGGACAAGTTGGACTGTGTAATAGCTTCTTTTTTCGAGCAACGCAGTATAATTAAAAATAAATGTCAGCCAAAATATTTTCTTTTTCGGAAAGTGCAACACCAAATACCTCACAACTTAAGTATTTTCTTTTTGGGAAACTGCAAGATTCTTCTTTTTGGGAAACAAAACACAACAGATGAGTGTAATGTTGTGACACCAACACTTTTCTTTTTAGGGAAAGTGGAACACCAACGGTTCGTCTTCTTTTTAGGAAACAAACAACACTGATAAGTGCAACCGTAACAATTTGAGCAGTGTGGATTATTATGATCCAAAAACACCAGCCATGCTTCATCCATTGATGACAGAGCAAGAACACGACTGCTTATTATTCTAAATCCTTCCCAAAACGCGCAAATTCGCAGGGCTTCTGTTTTTGTTGTTTTTTTGTGTTCTGGGGTTGGCGGCGATCATTTTATTTTAGCTGAACTCACTCACACCAAGCGGTGCTTTGTCGGGGCTTCAAATTCTGCATCCGGGTAGCGTGACAGTACAGATTTGACACCTCGCACGAACTTCCCTTCGCTAGCCACTTGGATGACCGCACTAATTAACGCTCATTTGTGCAACACTGTAATGCAACACAAGGCTTTCCGTTCATGGGAAATTTCTGGTTTGACTTTGAACGCGTCGTCATGTGCCTCTTCTGCACATCTGCCCCGTGTGTGCTGGATTTATGCATTGTGTGTTTGTTTGCAGACATCAGTAAACGCCGTCTGGTTTCTGTGTGCGCGTGTCTGTCCGTGTGTGTGTGTGGGTGTGTCAGGGGCCGGTATCCGTGACAGTGTAGATACATTATTGCTCAGCCTTGCGGTTAAAGGGCTCTCGCTGAGTAAAGGCACAAGGTCTAATTATCCTGCCAAAACACACACACGCACACACACACACACACTCCAGCAGAGGCTATTACACACTGTGTCGTCTTTCAGTGGGAGTGCTTGCAGACAAAAATAACTCAGAGGAACATTGCGCACCCGTCGGGTGTCAACGGCTGCGCGTTGTTGGCATGTCAAAGACAAAAGTGGGGTGTCGGAGACTTAAGCATACCGTGTGTATGGATGGAGAATTGCGATCGAAAATTCCTCACGTGGGGCATATTCGACAAGAATGGATAGGACGGAACAGTGCAGTATATCATCAAATGGAGTCATTGTTCATTCTTTTGGACTCTAATACAAAAGAGGCATAAATGCTGGGAACTGTCTCGACTCAACTCAATGTTTTAATTTTTAATAAATTTGCACACAAGAAAACCTTTTTTTTTTTCCTGCTGTCATCACGGGGTGTTGTGTGTAGAATTTTCACGGGAAAAAAATGATCCCAGGCTCTAATACAGCGGTGTCAAACTCATTTTTGTCATGGGCCACATTTTAGTTACCGTTTCCCATGGAGGGCCGCTATGACTGAAACCAAATCAATGAAGGGTTTGGTTACAAGAAAATTGTTCCAATATGTCTCTTATTTATTTCATATGAGAATTTTAACTTTTGGTAGAGATTTTAGCAAGCATCACGAAAGCTGACATGTTTGATTTGCTTTCGTGGGCCACATAAAATGATGTGGTGGGCCAGATCTGGCCCCCGGGCCTTGAGTTTGACACATGTTCTCTAATATTTAAACAATGAGGAAAAAGCACTTTGAATACATTCTGGAAGCACTTTTAAGTGCCAAAGTCATTTTAAATTCCTGTCAGAATATCAGTTAAAACAATTGCAATGCGCTTGCTAAAAATAGATTTTTTCCGTTTGTTGTTGTCTGAATAGCATCTCAGTCGTACGGGTCACGCTAGCCTGTGAAGGTTTAAATTGAGGCCGCTGGATTCTTCTTGTTTGTCGAATTTGTTTTGTGTGTGTGTGTGTATGCGTTTTTCTTGTTTTGAAAATGTTCCAATATGACTAAGGCAACTATGCTATTAGGCTAACGATAACAAAGCCTGAGCCAGTTTCTCTTTTCTGTGCGCGCGCGTGCACGCCTTTTTTAAGTGTAGCCCTGTTCAAAGAGCTATTTTTGGGAGGCAGCATAGTAAGTTGCGGCGAGGGAAAACAAAATCACATGAGCTGTTTTGTAACGGCTGACTGCAATGTTTCTACCAAACAAGACGCAGATCAATAACAACAGAGTAAAGTAATCAAAAATAAAGCCGGAAATTGAACCTTTTTAGAGGTGAATGCGTTGCTTAATGTGAGTAAAGGAGGGGGGGGGGGGTAAACTACACATCACCAGTTGGGTGACCAAACTCTTGTGTTTGCCTTATCGATTTTCTGCAGTTTGCAATCATTGATCGCATCCCTCCCACGGAGACACGACAAAACGCTCCGCGATTTGAACCTCGTGAACATGTTCTATGCAATAAAAGCAGCAGATGTTAGCCATCATCCAAACTGCAGAATGATTGACAGACATTGGCTCTCCGTCCTGACGACGGGTTGCGGTCTAGCCTGTATAGATCCGATCCAAAATTCTCTGGGTGGCTGACCAATTGTTTACGATACTGTCGAAGTGAATGGACCATAAAAGTGGTGTAACCAAACAATCAAATTCCAGTCACAACATCAACCTCATTCTGATTGGCTTGACTTCATCGACACAGCGACGCGATACGATTCGCTCCCATCATCGCTCCAATTACGATACCAATCCACTCCAGTTATGATCCGATCCCATTTACCATGCGACACGAAACGAATGACACCAGTTACGATACAACACGCTCAAATGTATAATCCGATACGATTTTTCCACGCGATATCATTGACACCAATATCCACAGACTCCACTTATGATCCGATTTTTGTTCAATATAATTAACTCCAGTCAGACGCCATTTAACCAATATGATACATTTCACAACATTTGTTATGCGCCACAATGACAACAAAACAAGATTGGGCCATCGATGTCGCAACTTGATGCGAATACATCATCAATGACATTTTACGACAGATTTGTACATTTAGAGGCTCTTTGAATCCCAGTTCAAAAGTTGATGTTTGAACGATTGACTGGTGCCTTTGGGTGTCACATATTTGCAGTCAGGTCAAAGGGATGGTGTACAGGAAAAGCTGGAAAAGCCTCTTGGTCTGGCGCGTATGTGCGCAACTCGGGTCACATGCAGAATTACTAGACAATATGATTCATAACCGGGAAAACCAGTCTTTCCCCCTCACCTGTTTCCTGTCTTGGCGTGAGCGTGCTGTGTGGGCTTCAGTTTACTTTTCCACCAACCCAGCTTTGGATATGTCCCACTCTGGCTCGATCTCGTGCCACTCCGTCTCTTGTTGGTGTTATACAATCCATTCCGAAAGGCGTGAGGCCAAGACGGGACATCCTCCTGCCAACCCAAATAAACTCCAATTTCCTATGACAGTAAATAATACGTTTCAGACAGATTGCAAGAGGTTCATCTTAAAACATGTATTTAAGTCAGCTGCGGAGGCGGGACTTGAATATGGAGGCAAAGGCAAACTTCACTGTAACACAATACATGTGGCGGTCGGTTTGTTGTTGTGCTATTTGCAATGACATCACCGTCCAATGAAACGAAACGTACGTCCAATTCTTGAGTTCTTCTTTCTATCAGAACATTATAAAAAATGGTAGAATAGCTAAACCGGGTTGATAAATAGTGAACTCATCCTTTGCCATATGGCTTTGGCTAGCTGTAACGGGGTTGAGTAGATTATAGATTTACAGTGTGTTTTAGCTTTTTATTTCAATCCACAAAAATAAATTAAAGTAGATCATTACGGAATAATGTCTTAGCATACATGGAACTTGTGCAGCTAAAATTCCCTCTTCGTCTTTGGAATTGCATAAGTGACATTTGTGAGTAACTTCCCAAGTCTGCATGACTCTTGACCCACCTTTCTCGAGTCCCGGTGGTGGTTTTTCGAGAGGATTTCCCGTCTACTGCTGCAGGAGTGAGAAATGATGTGGATGCGGGCCAAAGCGAGGGGTTGTTGACTCAAGGGATAAAGAGAAGAAAGAAAGTCAGGCCAGACCAAAACACCTGCTCTGGTCACGACCAGTGCCAAGTGTGTTGAGAGGGGAGATGTGTGGTTACGTTCACCAGTGATCCGATGTGTAGAGGCGAAAGAATGTGGTTCGTTTTTTTCTTTTTTTACACAGTCTATTGATGACAGATGTTTTAATATTTAGTGAAAGATTCAGTGCAATACAAACACATTGCTGCATTGTGATATTGTTACAAACCAGAAGTTATTGTTAAGATTAGCATGTTTGAGAAGAATCAATAATAATTGTGCTGAAATCACCACAATGTATAATTAACTCGCTTTTTAATCGCAATTCTAACCTAACAACAAACTTCCTGGTTCGTGAACTAGCTCATGTAGCTAACAAACAACAACTGTTACCTAAGAAGCCAAGATTAGCATGTTGCCAGGAGAAAAAAATTATATGTTAATCATCAACACAGTGTATAATTAATTCACTTCCAGCATCAATTCTAATCTAAAATTTGGTCGAATGACAAGGCAGGCAACTAATTTAGTTAACAGGGAAGCTAAGAAGTTAAAATTAGCAAGGAGCTTCTTGCCAAAATTATCACTCAAAAACAATAATTATGCTGCGGTCAATGATATGCGTGATTCATTAGTTTTCAATCAACAATTTAGCCGCAAAATAAAAATTGGTAGCGGGAGGTGAACTGCCTAGTTTGTCCAAAAAAAACAAAAAAAAACGAATGGAGCTATGACCACCTGTTATCTATGAGGCTAAGATTAGCATGTTGGCTCCAGGGCAAAATCCAAACAAACAAACAATAAGACATCTGTTATGTTTCAAAACAAACAAGCGTCTGTTGAAAAATGAGTAAAATGAGTAATTTGGTGGTACATAGCAACCATCTCCAGGATAAACTTTATTTCTGCCATGAGGCTAACACCAGTATCCTCCGAGGAGTGACATCATCATGTGGTGCTGTTTCAGGCTCGGCTAATTGGGTCTTTCTATAGTTGTGTCCTTGAGTTTTATATGTTTTTAAGTATAGCAATGACTCTGGGATTTATTGTGTGTTATTGTGTTCATGCCGCAGAGCATTCACATGTTATTCTTTACAAAAAATTTTTTATTTATTTTTTTTTACAATGATACCGTCAATTTTGGTCAACATATTCTCCAAATTCAAGCCATCTGAGCTACTACTTGACATATTTATATAATTCCGGCACTCCGGTTTTGCTTCATCTTTCTAGCATTCACGTGAAATTTGTACAAAAATCCCATTCCCCAGTTGTGACATGAACATCTTGTGTTCATACAGAGAGGGAGGCACAGAGAGGCAGCAGCCCATCAAAACCCGCCACTGATGCTGCACATGGAACCCGCCTTCGTGATCTGCATGGGCGTCCTGGTCCTCGTGATCGTCTGGTACTTAGGCGGAGACCCCAACAGCCAACCGGTTCATCCTCAGGGTTAGCTGACGGAGGGGGGAAGGAAAAAAAAAATCTAATAAACCCAGCAGATGTAGCATCCGACAAGTCTTCTTCTTATTTCAGGAATTGGATCCTTTAAGGAACTCTAAAAACGTCCGGATTTCCACGTTCCCCCCCCCTCTCTGAGCCTTTGCCATGAAACCAAAGAGTTGTGAATTTGCACTCCCATCCAGAACACAAACAAGCCCCGCTCACAAGCCCCGCCCCCGGAAGATGACAACTGTGGAAATCCAAGCGTGCCTTGTACATTCTCCTGCTAATTCTTTTTGGTTTACTTGTTTGAGATGTACAGAAAGGTAAATGAGTCAACTCTGCAGACCCCGGGGTTGTTAAATGATGTGGGGGTCCATGAATTCCCAAGACGAAAGGCATCTTTAAAACTCCTTGTCACAGCTCAAAAGCCACGGTTTCGACGACGTTTCTCCTCGTCTCATATCTGTTTTTGTTTTTTTGTTTTTTTAACCCATGTTTAAATACATTGCACCTTCTCTTACTTGCCACGGATAAAATTTCAAATCCAGATGATAATCTCTCTATGTGCCAACAAAATACACTTGATCGGTTTTTAAGAAATTTCTTCGGCAGGCCTTCACTTTTATTTTATTTTTTTAATTCCTCAAAGCACCCTCAAGAAAGTCTGAGAGAATAAGTCGTTTTACCGCCACAACCCTTCCCTAAAATGCTCAAGAAACGACAGCGCTTTCCCCAAACATTTTAAGATGCGTACTCTCTTCAGCATGCCAACGGAGTTAGCGCATCCTGTCTCCTGTCCTAAAAAAAAGAGCCAGAAGACCTTTATTCACAGCCTTTCCCAAATGTAACTCCTAATTTCACAATATTTAAACCTTAAACATGCCAACAGAGTTGGCCCACCCCTTGGACACCCCTGAAAAAAAAGATGATAAAGCCGATATAATATGTGGAACAAACAAGGTCTTCCTTGATGTGTATATGAATATGAATTTATGAATCAAGATCTTATCTTCTATGCAAAACACGATCATCTCAAACAGAATCCGGTGTTTGTGTACACCACTCGAACCGAATCAATCCAGGCACTATTTGCCCCGTTTTGGTCCTGGACTGCTTTCTAGGGCACCGCTTTCCTTCTCCGTTCTCGGTTTCAGCCTGCGGACGTGCAGTATCATTATCATCATCTGTCAGGCATCCGTCTCCATCCGTTTATTAGCGCAGTGCTTCACAAGTCCGTGCGTGCCCGCCGGTTTTTCAAACACTCCCAGAAAGAGAGCCAATGAATGGTTAGCTAACACACCTGCTAGCCCGCTACAAATACTGATTGGTTGCCAGAGTCAGTGAATTTCCAGACGCCGTAAAAGAGCATTTTTTTATAGTTTAAGCCCCTTTCACTTGCGTTAAACACATTAAAACTTATTAAACCACGCTTAAAACATACTTTGTGAAGTCTTTGTTTGCGCATGTTCTTTCTCGCTCGGTGTCAAGTAATGGGTGACAATCGTGTGACATCACGAAGGAAGCCAAAAGAAAACTCATTGCCCGGTTCTCCAAATAAGAGGCAAAGTGTGATCGCTTCAAGTTGTCACTCACAGTTCAAGTTACTGAAAAACTGAAGCATAGGAAAAGAGAATTATACGTCGCTAGCTTAATGCTAGCATCTAATGGAAAACGACATTGACGGGTTAGCCGAAATTAGCATAGATGTTGCAGTAATTCTAATTTTTTTTTTTGTAATCTGAACTCGTAAAATATATTTTTGGGCCGCAACCCTTCCAACTCACTGGCAAACAGTCCACATAATTCCGAATGATTAATTAAGAGATTGTTGTGACACCTTCTGAGTTGCTAATCTTGCGATAATCCTTTCAAATTGTTTTTTTTTTCTATAATTCGGAAAAAAAAAATTTGTGCAACCCTCCCAAGTAATAAGCAAATGATAGACAGAATTCTTAACGATGAATTAAGCGAATGTAATGGCCTCCACGGCCCCTTGAGCCAAACCAGTCCGAAGTCACGTGTTATCCCTTGAGAAAATGTAGCACTTTTTTGATGACAATTTTAGCAGAACCCTTCAAAGTTACTAGAAAATAAACGACATTTTTTTTTTGTTATGCTCAATTAAGAGATTGTTATGCACCTTCCTGAGCCACACCCATACTAGGTCCATAGTCATGTGCTATTCTGTTTGAAACGTTACCGTTGTACTTTTAATCGGAATTCGTACAAAATACAGTTGTGCTCAACCGTTCTAAGTTACAAGCAAACAATCCACAGAATTCTTAATGAGGAATTAAGCCGTTATTATGCCCCTTTCGTAAACTACACTTGCTCAATGTAGTCTTGCGTTTAACAAAAATGTTTTCTTTATTTTTATTTTATTTTTTTTTATGCAAAAACAAAACACTTTTTTTTTTTCTACACTATCCTCCAGGCTGACCAATAAACACCACATACACTTCATTCTTTCTGGACTGTGACAGCATGTGGTGCCCTGTGAAAACTTAAGACCTCATGTCCAACTAACTAAGCTCAGGCCTACAGCAGGGAGCAAAAAAGCACAGCGACGAATTAGCCGTCTCGTGTGTATGTGTGTGACATTCAGGGCTTTGCACAATTTGCAAAACAACACAGCTGGAGTCTTTTTGTATTTTGTTTTGTATTCAAAATGTATGACTGTATTGGGGGATTGGAGACATTTCCTCAGTGGGACTGCAGATAACGAGGGGGAACTAAGTGAGCGAGTGACTCTGAATGACCCAGTGCGACTGTAGCAGCAGCACCTGTCTTATTATTATTTTATTGTTATGTTTCTTTAAACTATTAGGACACAGTGAAATTGTGATCGCTATGTCTAATTGCCTTTTGTCATTAAAGTTTTTTTCATCTTTCTACATCAAATCTTAAGGGTGAATTATTGATGTGATAAGCTCTTGTTGGTTAACGCGGCAATGCTAATATTGACATAAGTTGGAGTCCACGGGGGGTTATATTCAAACACTGCAGTATTATTAAGAGTATTCATTTTTAAGAGTATTTTTTTTATAGTAAAATAAAACAAACTCTTTGTAACAGTATTAAAAGTGCAAAAGTGCATTTTTTTATGTTAGTTTTATCATTATTCTTTTACATTGAATATTAACAAAAACAAATCAAGGGTTTTGAATCTCGTATTTTTGAGAAAAAAAATCAAGTCAATAAAAATGTTTAAAAAATTAATTTATCAATTATTTATCAATCAATAAATTTTATACATATACATATACATATAAAATATTTACTTTTTCAAGAACATTTTTGTTGAAAAGAACAAAATCATAGTGTATCTTGCAAGTTTGAGACACTATTGACGAGTGAATGTCAAAATTGCCACATGAACCTAAAAAAGAAAAAAACAGCAGGACACTCTCGGCCACTCATTAAGTATTTGTTTAAATCACTTTTGGCTCCGAGTAATAATTAACCCTTTCATGGACAGCGATTACTACAGTGGACAGCTTATCATGTTATCAGGTTACAGGGTACACGAAAGGCTGAATAAGAACAACAGTGTAAGCAAGAAATAACCTCTAAAATGTTTCCGAATATACCAAACGTACCAAAAAAAAAAGCTTTTTTTGGATCTTCTTTTATTGCATTTCATCCGCAGCGTTACTTACATTGTAAAATTCCAGTGCGTCGACAACATTGTTCATCAATTGTCATGTCAAGACAAAATGGATTGTCCAACAATTGGGTTCCTTGATACAAAGTCACCATATTGTTAAATAACGACTTATACATGTTCATTTTTTTATGTGCACAATAAGAGCTGACCAAAATGAACTCACGACAACGTCAGGCTAGCGTGTAAAACAGAAAGGAGGTTTTCTCCTTTCCGTTTCCTCATTGTGTGAGTGCGTGTGTGCACTCGTGCTCATTTGCAGGAAAGTACGGTGCCTTCCACGGTGCTTGGCAAAAACACGTGCTAAGAGAATTACGCCCTTCTTCTTCTTCTCCACACATACACACACACACACACACACACACACGCACACACACAGACTGTCATGTCAGTGCATGTGAGTCAAGGGGGGGGAGTGGGACGGTCGGGCAGTGAGGATTGCTCCATCCATCTGTAGAGAAAAGAGAAGTAGCCATTTAGCCAGCTGCTTTAAGGTAACAGCATCACTCAGGCCCAAAAGTTTCTCAGAAGAACAATTGCTCAACTTCGTTCAATTTTTTTTGATGATGCCACTTTGCTGCTGTGTAGTGATGTGATTTCAAACACAGGTCTGTATAATATCACCCCGCAAGGGTTGAATTCAGAAGGATTCAGAAAAAGCACTTTCGTCTTCAGCAATAAACTTAATAGCGAATGATTTATTTTCAATTTTCCATATGATAGAATTAGCATCGGGGGAGAGTGTGCAAAAACAATCACATTTGTCTTTTGGGTTTAACCCTGGAGAATCTACTGGGTCTAATTTGGCCCCAATAAATTCTGCTATTCAAATGCTACCCTTAAATCCCAAAGGGTCAAATTTGGCCCTTATCCTAAATTAGCATTAAAGCATTAAATATTTGGAAAAACATATATTTTGGTGTTCAGTGAACATATAGCAGTCATTTAATGTATAATTCATCATTTTCCAAAGAAGAAAAAGGGTTCTTGGGTTCTCCAGGGTTAAAATTGCCAGCATGATGAGGAGAGGTTAAAATGTCCTGTAATCTGAACAAAACATATGTCGTTGACGTTCTATCTCCTGTATTTAGTCCACGGAAGCATTAATTGTCACTAAGTGTGAAAATAGAAAACTAACAATCAGTATTAAGATCTGGTCGGCGCCGTTTGTCGTGTCGCTGTTGGGTTGTCATCCCAAAGCTCTTACTGGAAACAGGTGTTCACATGATAGTCCTCTGTCATCTTATCTGTCACACGCACGCGGGCACCTACGTAAGCGGCCATTCGCCTGAGCGTCTGCCGGTCGATCCCGCGGTCGTAACATCCGCCCGTCGTCTTTGCTTGAGTTCCCGCTGCCCGATGAGTCACATGTCCACCCACGGCCGGGCTTCCAGTCACGTCCACTCCTTTATCAGACACAAATGATAAAGGCTCATGAATGCGTGACTTTTTTTAGCCCGCCGTGAACACAAGGGAATACCTCTGCGAACAATCTATGCGCAGATATGCCTCCGGGCCCCTTCCGCGTGGAGTTTGCATGTGCGGCTTTCCTCCCCACATTCAAAACCTTGCGACTGAGCTTCATTGAAGATTCTACGTTGTCAATGGGAGTGCTTGCATTTCTGGGATTGGCTCTAGCTATAGAAACTGGATGGGTAGATTGTAGAGCTAGTTTGCAAATGCTGCAGTGTAGTTCGAGTAGCATAAAATGAGCATACTGCATTGTGAAATGAATACATAAAAAGGGAGCATTATCAAGTTCATGTCAACTTTGTTGTCAAATGTGCTACATGTGCAACATACAGCACAGATGACATTTCTTTCCTCTCAACCACAGGCGAGAAGGGAGCCGCTGCTCAGGCATTTTTTTTTTTTCCCAACTATATGGGCCGTGATTGGTTGGTGCAGGTGTCCCTAATGTTGCGTCCGCTGATGTGGAGCGTTTGCAACTCTTTGGCTCAGGGTTGCATCAGCCTGAGCCGCTCAGACGTGCAAGCTTTGCCTCGGAGTTGTTTCTCTCCTGACACCTTTGCACACCAAAGAATAAATAGAGAATTGAGGTCAAGGCTAAACTATTTACTATCACGAATAAAAGCAAACAGCCAAGAGGTTAAGTGACTCAAATGAAATCAAACTACACTGGTTATGTTTTAAAGGGGACGTATTAAGGAAGGGTGATTTTTTTTTTTTTTTTTTGCTGGCTTGTATACATAGAATTTTTTTTTTTTGGGGGGGGGTCTCCTGCTCACCCATCAAGTGTGAAATTAAACTAGCAAGTATATCTTTAGTGAGCTATCCCAAAATGTAATGAAATGAGAAAGCACTTTGGAAGATTTTATCATCATTTTAGATTTTTTTTTTTTTTTTTTTTTTTTTAGAAGGAAAAAGAATCTGGAAAAAAATGTGGGCCGGAATTGTTTGATTATTTAATTTTTTTTAAAGAAAATAATTGTATTTCTTCAAGATTTTTTTTTAAATTTCTTAATGAAAATTCTGTAATCAATCCAGACTTGTTTTTGGCGGGGGAAAGATTTTATTTTATTTTTTTCCCAGAAAATGTTTTGTTTTATTAGGTTGTTTTTTTTTTTTTTTTTTACTAGCACATTATATCAATAATAATTACTACTGTTGAGTCTGTACTCTGAAACTCAACAACAAAGCCCGTGTAAAAATTTTTTAAGGGCATTGCCTGCTTTTGACTGAGTTTTTACAGATTGCAGTTTAACAGCGGTGCTAATTCACAAAGGTAAATCATCTCCTTCTACTACATAACATCCAGCCTAATGTACGGTATACAACACAATCAATCTTTATCTACATTGCGCTTTCCCAACTATACAGTACAAAGACAACATCCAAGCTAATCTACAAACACAACATCCAATCGCTGTCACACATCTTTCAGGGTGAGTTGCACAAGCCGCGGCGCAGGTTTCACAACCAAATAGGAAAAAAAAAAAAAAAAAAGGTCTGCGTAAACACACGCACACACCTCATCGGGGGCTGCGCTCACCCGCAGCAACGCGCCCAGTTTCTGCTCACCTGATCAAAGCGAAGAGTCGAAACACCTGCGAGGCATCTTTTCGTTGAGTTATTTGCACGCCTTATGACGATCTTTGATGCATCGCATCGTGTGGCTTTGTCTTCTTCGGGTTGTTGATATGCAGTTAGAATCGCAAAACAAAACAGCTACAGACCTCCCTGTCGCCAATATCCTGCCGTATATGCCACGTGGAAAGCCAGGGATTCAAACCCAGAACTTCTAAAGAAAGCAGGAGCCCTAACCACGAGTTCACCGGGCTATGTTGTCGCAGTAGCAACGGAAACTCATAAAAGGAGGACCCCCGGCCCCGGGGGAATAACTCAAAAGACAATGCCAAACCAACTAAGTAGCATAAAGTGGAAGGTTTTAGACTTGGTGTCAAACTCAAGGCCCGGGGGCCAGATGTGGCCCGCCACATCATTTTAAGTGGCCCGTGAAAGCAAATCAAAGATGACAACTTCCATGCCAAAATCTGTACCAACATTTAAAATTTTCATATGTAATAAATCGGTGACATATTGTAAGCATTTTCTTGTTACCAAAGCCGTCATTACAGTGACTTAAAAAATAGTTGAATAAAAAAATTCTGGTATATAGTTTCAGTCATCACGGCCCTCCAAAAGAAACGGTAATGTGTCCCGCGACAAAAAATGAGTTTGACACCCCTGACTTAGACCCTGACTTAAACCCTATAAAGAATACATTTTACGATGATATTTGACAACTTTACCGACAAAAGAAGCTTGATGAGTTAATCCTACAATGAATTGTATAGAGCGCCTGACCTCATTTGGTTGCTGGCTGAGCTGGAGTCTATTCGCCTACTTTGTTGACTTTGATTTCTTATTCAGTTTTAATTTGGTCTCATCTTTTGTTATTTACTCTTTTTTTTTTTTTTTTTTTTTTTACTGGCTTTTTAAAAAATTATACATAATTTTCTTTGTTCCTTGATGTGAATTTGGCCTGATTGTATTTGAGGTTATTTCAGTTGACTGTGTTCCTTTTAATTGCATTTTATTTCAGACGTGTGAATTTAATTATCAATAAGCTGCACAACAAAACAGCCAGCTTGCAGAGACAATTAAAAAAAAATAAAAATAAAAAATGTCATCGAAACTCACATACCGACTTTGGCCACTTCATTAGGTACACCTGCACAACCCCCATGTGTGAGGTTCAATGCTCATGATTGACTGACGCTGACAAGGGAATATTCATTCAAGAAAAAAATGATGATAACCATTATTACATCACAAATTAATTGGATGATTGAATTTAATTATGAAGAATGCAAATGAGTAACCGTGACTTAAAGGAACTTGGAGGTCACGATAATGATCGACGAAACTGCACACCCATCGTTGAATAATTGAAAATTTTGCACCGCAAGCCTTAGCATGCATGAAACAAAATGGATTGGACCATAATTTTGTCGTCCGCTCAATAATTGAAAATTTTGCACCGCAAGCCTTAGCGTGCACGCCACAAAATGGATTGGACCATAATTTTGTCGTCCGCTCATTAGTGAGCTACTAGGAGCGACTATATGTCCTTCACATTTTTTTTTTTTAAATCATTGCATTGAAAATAACAAGACGCCATTAGGATAGGCCTTTCATTTTGAACTCTTGGCATTGTGGTAGGGCTCAATCATTTTCTAAAGGCACATTTTTGGATGAACACGAAAGGAAGTACATTTATCCACTTCAAATCGAGCCGTTAACTAACAAAACCGCTTTGACTTGCAGTCTTTTAAGCATTCACAATGACAGCTGCACAAAATTCTAAAAAAAAAAAAAAAAAGCAGGCGTGAACCTAAGTCCGTCAATCATAAGTTAGATTCTGACAATGATGCGAACAAATCTGCGGCTTTGTCGCATCCATTTTTCATGTTTCATGAAAACAACATGGACTGGATTTCTTAAGCGCTGAAATTATTAAGACACTATATTAATAAATGTAAAAAAATATAAACCCAGTATATGCAAAAGATAAAGTCAACCAACTGACCAAAAAAAAAAAAAAAAATATATATATATA